ATTCCAAGATGATCAACTTGATAAATGTAAAAAACACTCGTCCAAAGAGCCGTGCTGCTGACATGCTAAACCTACAACACAGCTGCACGCTATAGGACCACGAGCTTGGGAACGGTGGAAATTACTTGCAGCACATCTGCAATCAGCGGATTAGCTCACCTCACCTCCCATATTTATACAACACGTCTGTGTAAAATGAGGCCTTGTGGGACCCGTACTGTACAGGACAGGGTGGACTGCGGACGTGCTGAAGGCTGATTTTCTGCCAGCTCAGTCCGCCCAGAGGGAGCGTGGAGGTCCAGAGCTGTGCTCAGAGCTCTGCTTTACTGGGATTCCTTACCTATTACATTATCTGGGTCAGGCTACAATCCGGACCCAGTAGAATTAGGGTTAAATGTGTTCTTTGTGTAGGTCAGTGTCAGTCTGCGGCGGCGGCGAGTGAAGTGTGTTGAGGTGTGCAGTACATAAAACAACAGACGCTCGCTGGGACACACGGATTTCTTCACATAATGAATAATGCTTCAGGAGTTGCTCAGTGATATGTGTTGTAATGCAGTCTGTGGTTTCCTTTTTCCTCCACCCTACCTCCGTCTGGTGCATTCCTGTCTCTTGTCTGCCGTCAGTGCATTACTCTCATACAATGTTAATGTTTGAAGAGATGCATGATGGGATTCTTCTAAATCTAAAGTTTTACCCAATAATACTAACCTCAGAATTCTATTAATTAAATAACATTTATAAACGTAAACATTTGGATGTAGTTTAATGCACAAACATCCTGCAGTGTATGTATATTATATATATGTGGAGGCTCCTGTGTGACTATGAAAGGCCTCATGGAATCAAAAACTGTCTCCGCTAAAGTCAAACCCAAACTTTTGCTCGAGACGTCTTCGCGTTCTGGTTTAATGAGGCTACGCTTTGGGTGGAGAAAGTGTGAGATGATTTACACGTCGCACAACAGACTACTCCCATGTGAGTCTGTGGAATAAAAAAGGCGAACCTCGCCGTACAAAGAGGAGTTTGCTCTTTGAAAACTGCGGGACTGACACCAGAACCTTATTATAGCTGCCGTGTGAAATGTCACTGTAACAGTACGAGAGAGAACAGTGTGTAAAAAATGTGCCTTTATGAAGAGTTTCAGAGGAGAAGATTGAAACTTCTTTGTGTATGAAGTTACCAGAAGCTGCTTATCTTACATTAGAACAAACACGTCTCTGGGTTCATCTGTAAATCTCACTTCATCACATCTGTCTTGTTTGTTTAGCCCCAAAAAGTGTTCAAATGACCCACTGTGGTTCCTTTACAAGCCTTCATTACAGACATCCATGCAGGAGATAAGCTGAACAAAGGCTTCAGTTTATCCTTTGTAGGACCTACACTACGTCAGCCCCCGATGAGACATGACTGATAAAACCCTGCAGAGGTTACTTATATACAATATTAATGCATTTTATTGGAAAAATCTTTCATGCATGCAGCCATAAGGAGCCCAGTTGTGCGTCTCTCATCGCCGGCATTCTTTATTTTATTTCTTTCACCTGACAGGCCTGTTTTCTTTCCCTTGACGATCTAATAGATCTCGGTCCTGTGCATGTGATGAAGTCACTGCGTGATGTATGGGCTCGCTGTGTGAGGGAAAGCAGTTTGCATGCTCGGCGGCCTCGGGGAATTCACCACGGCCTGCACAGCCCCGTCTGCTCCCAGCGATACTGTAGCTTTACAAGCAGACGCGACGACGCAGGCTGACTCACACAGAATGTTTTGTTCCATTTAGCTGCTACAAAACCTGCTTTTCAATACGATGTCAAGTCAGTCAAGGACTCGAGTCCGACTTGTTTTTGTCAGACGGGAGACGCTGTTCTCACGCTGAGACGCACGGATGAGTAAATGCTGAACTATTTTAATGCACTAAAGTCATTTTTTTCCAGTTATTTTTACATGTTGATGTACATCTAACCTGTTGGGTGATTCCACTACAGCTCGGCACTTTGTTCAAATGTTTGAAGCTAACGTTTTGTTCTCAGCCTAAAAATTAAACTCTAATCTTTTAGCGTTTTGGATGAAAGTAAGTGGTTTGATTTGCTTATTCTGCATCAAATTAGACACTGATGTGATGAGCTAGCATGGCGCTATGGCTAACGAAGCAGCATTTTACTGCTGTTGTGCAGCATTTAGGGCGACATATGGAGAGTTTTCTACCTTGTTAACATTTCTATGGTGTTTTTTTGATACACATCATAAGCAAAATAAGCAGTCAACACCACAGAAGACGTTTTCTTCTGTGAGACTGCAGTGTACCGATAGCAGTCTCAAAAACGCGGATTCAGACTTTTAGAGTTTCGTATGTAACAAACACAAGGAACCAATCATCTTGCGGGGGCGGGGCTTCCTGTATCGTTTTAGGTTCAAACACATATGGCTGAACATCTCGTCCTTGTGTAGTGTACAGTGTTTGAGCAGAGTCGTAGGCGAGCTGGTGTGCTCGAGGTGCAGCGAGTGGTGTTACATCTATTTAAGGTATGAAAACATTACTGTCATTGAAAACAAACACATACATATAAATATATATATTTTGATAGACAGAGATGAGTTTTCAGGGGATAAATGAACGACTTAATCGTGAAGCTGTTAACATCTCGTTTAACATTCTAATCAATCCTATTTGTATTTATAATCTTCCCCTTTGAAATTCACACAACTTAACAGTTAAATGACAATTCCTCATCAGAACCTAATTACCATAGTTTTCTCTTTGATTAGTCAGATCCCAATCAGCACATCTGAACTAAACCGGGAGCGATCTCGGTCTTTAAATGCGCAAAATTCTGTCGTTTGTTTTAAGCGTTTTGATGTCGTTCTTTATGATGTTTTAATCGTGTTTCTTTGGTGATGACTCCAGATAAACACTCCAGTCGCTTGTCTTCGTACGAGGAACAGCGTCCGGCTTGTGCAGAATTTCAGTAATTCTTCCCGTCGCACGCTTACATTTCGTCTCTCTTTAAGTGGGTCAATAAAAGATTACTGTCCACCCTAAACAGTGTGATTGAGGTCAAAACTAAAGTTTACACACCACACACGTAGAAATCCACTGGAAAAGCAGGTAATATTTATGGTTTCTGAAAGACTCGGCTACTTCTGTTTACTGCACAAGTAAAGCTTGGCTGTTCCAGAGAGCAAACCAACGTTAACAACCACCTTTGCGTTTCCGCTGCATGGCTTTGTCTGCAGATCAGGAAATAAGCAGCCTTATGCGGGATTTCATCCAGATAAGTAAAAGTGGACACAATGCTCATTTGAATCCCTGTGAATGGCTCGTATATGTCTTATCTGAGGTCAGACACATATAATCTCTAATAGCTCCAGATTAGAATTAGCATAGATTTAATAGCAAAGCCGCCTTTTGTGCATTTAATGTTAAACAGTCGACTGATTCTTCTGAAGTTTGTCTGAAAAAAAAAAGGGGGAGTTTATTCTGGAGAAACTTTGCCTGCTTCAAATGAGGAAACTGACATTTCCCTTTTTCTTGCGAACAGCCTCATTAGCTGCTGTGTGAAACGTTCTGGTGTATTTTTAGAGAGACGTCCACCTGAAAACGGTACAAAGACAGTCGCATCCAGAAAGCTGTCACGTTTCTGTGTCTGGATTCAAGTTGTTTCCACCACAGGTGCTGACGTCCACATCAGATTTTTGTTGGAAGCAAATCTGATTGTCTGTGTTTACACAAGATCCCTCTGGTTTATGATGGAAACAACTGGAGTGTGTACACGAGAGACAGAATAATAAGCGTGGCCTCGCAGCCACATTAAACTCTCTGATAGAAGTAAACCTTATAGAAATAATAATCGAGCCACTGAGATGCTCGTCAGAACAACGTGCCACTTGTTTTTCTTTCAGTTATTTTCTCATACTATTAGTCTGCAACTAAAAATAACTGACTTGGTGTTATTTGTACATATATACACCCTGTAGAACCGTCTGATTTCCCACAATTCTGCTCGAAGTTATCTCAGAAAACAAGCAATAACAAAACAAAGACCCCATTCGTGCAGCATCTTTTCTGTTCTGTTTGTTGCTGCTTGTTTACGGAGAAAACTTCCCGCAGAATCGTGGGAAATCAAACCAGTTGACAGGATATATATATATATATAAATATACAGTCGTCCTCAGATGTGTTCATAGCCTCCCATTAAAGAAGGAAGAAAACATCTGTCCCCGAAATAAGTTGACAAAATTTATAATAAATAAAAATTTAAGAAAAATCCTGACATTGCTTTTGAATTGTGGTTCAACTGAAATATTACAAAAAAAAAAAACAAGCATGATGGGACCCATAAACTAATATTTTGTTGAACAACCCTTTGAGTGGCCGGGACGTTTTTTTTTTTTTCGACCAAAATTCAAAAGCAACATCTTATTTCACGAAATTATAATTTAGCAAATTTTTATTTATTATTACTTTTTTCAGTTTCTAGTTATTTGAGTGACTAATGTGAATTTTGCCTTTTCTTTAATGCAAGGGGATGAATAATATCTACAAACATAGACAGAACCGTGACCCCAAGCAGTGCCGTTTGTGATGCTCTTTGTCGAGGATGCAGTCATCTCGCTCTTCTCCTCTGTATGGATTTCCAGCAGACTTGATGCCTCGCGGCACATTGCTGCTTCTCACAGGGGGAAGAATGGGTTTGTCCCATAGATGCATTAAGGTTTGTCCACTGACGATTCCAATGGAGGCAGCAATGTGCCACGAGGCATCAAATCTGCTGGAAATCTATATTAAAAAAAAAAGAGCGAGCATTCACAACAATTAATAACAAACCTCGGCATGTCTGCATGTGTGAATTAATTATAATTTGTTCCAGGATGGATCGTCTAAACCTGAGGCTACATGTATCTCCATCAGCAAACCTACAGGGATCTCCTCAATGAAAAAAAAAGCTTATTTAACCGCCTTTTCTCAAACCACGTCCTCTCAATAAACAGAAAACACACTCCTCTTCAATTCCATTTGCATTTATTCTAAAGGGAAAATATATAATTCAATAAATATTGAGGCAACAACATTGGCAAAGACATTTTGAAGGTGACATTAACATTCAAGAAAACATGGCTGTGTACACAGGGAGGGGACGACAGATTAGAAAATGACGAGTCGGGGCGCCGAGCTGCCAAAAGTGACAGCCGTGGCATTTGAACAAGCTAATTGGTAAAGATGAAAGTTACATTAAAAGTGCATCAGTGCTTTAAACAGCCTCTGAATCGCACCGTTGTTCCAGGAAAATAACACCAATTCATAAACATTGTTTTCTCAGGGCTTGGGAGGAAGTCTCATCTTCATATTGACACCTATTCTTTGTTTACATTGGAGCACATTGAATTTTAAATGAGCCACAGAGGTCCGGGAACTCAAACGCCCCGATAAGATTGAAATGGGGGGAATAAATACAATCACCTAATTTGACTTAAGGTCTGGTCACTGCAGAAGGTGGTACCGCGAAGTCGCTGCGATGACGGATGAGCGTCGCCTTTTCCAGTTTCATGAATACACGAGAGCCCGTGTTACATAAATGTCATCATCTCTGCGAGAATCGGTGGAGATGCTACGCTACGATGCTACGACGGCGTGCGTGGAATAATACTGTGCCTGTACTTCAAGCGGACTCCCACGGACTAGAAGAGCAGCATATTAATCACACCTCTGTGGCGTCTGCAGCTGTGCATCTGCAAGGGCGAATATTCAGGTTTAAGTGGGAACTTGCTGCAGCTGCTGAGCTAACCGTTAACATGCTAGCTACTTGTGCTAACCAAATTAAAATGGCTAACAAAAGGATAAAATGTCTGTTTCTCTGTTGTATTATGCCATTTACACGACTCCCTCTGCCAACTGTGTACTTTTTCTTTTATTAGAGTAACTAAGCGTTTGAAAAGCTAGCAAGTTAGCTAGCTCAGTAGCGCCATAGCTAGGAGGCTAATGCAGTCTGTTTCATAACTGTCTGGAAACTTTTCTTCTTTTGTGTGGCAATTTACACTCACAGAGGAGGTTAAATTAAAACTAGCAACACAGCTAACAGGCTACATGTAGCGTAGCTTCCACCTTTGGTGTTTTTTTTGTTCTTAAAGACCATTTACAGTTAGCTAACAGGGCTGCAACCAATTATTATTTTCAGTGTTGACTAATCTGTTGATATTTTCTTGATTAATTTGACCTGTGGTTCCCAAAAACCCAGCACGATATCCATAAATGCCTTTTTAGTCAGTTTTCTGTCACAGAGTAAGAGAAACGCCGGAAAATATTCACATTTACGTAGCTGCAATCTGATTTTAGACGATCTTTAAAATTGGTTAACTGATTATCAAAACAGTTCAATTTAGTCGACAGCTAACCGATTAATCGTTGCAGCTCTATTGGGTGCATATTGGTCCAAACTGTTGAAATATCATTTGCCTAGACTGATTTCACTGCTACGTACCACCACTTTAAACCACTGCTGGTGTGACCGGACCTTAATGAGGATTTTTAACCCAACAACAGCAGAGTCAGTGCGACTTCGGGTAAAAGCCAAAGTCAGGAGCTCTGATGTTACGGAGCCTAATAAACAAGCTTTAACCGTCGTTCCCCTCTTTAAAGTGACGTGGAACAGTGATTCACAGCTCAAACAGGCCGTCAGCCAAGAAGATGTCCTCATTTACACAATTAGTCAAATTTCCACTTGCTGAGTGTTGGTCAGCTAAAAGGTCTTGGGCCCATTTAGAATCCATTACAGGGTTTTAAAATGTGCCATTTCTATTCAGGGAGGAAATGTTGGGACAGACAGCATTTGTTCACCATTTGGACTTGAGGCCTGTTAGTCAACCCCTAAAGGCTGAACATAATTTTCCGCCTTCTTGTTTATGGAGTCCATGAACCGTTGAGTTTGGAAAATAGCGACTGTAATCTGTCATTCTGTGTCTACAGCTGCTGAGGCGACAGAACGATCGACTAGATTAAGATCAGCTGTTCAAAGCCGGATGTCATCGGGATGAAGCTAAAATAAAACAATGACGCAGTTACACACCAATGACTTCACATTATACCGACAACATATCAGAGACGTTGGGGGGACACACACAGCGTCGGGGTTCTGAAGAAACTCGTCTCGCAGCCTCCTCTGCACACAGACGAACAGGAACAGGAGCAGGGGTGAGAGTGAATCAGTTCCAAGCCACAGTGACGAGTTGTTGAAGAAGCCCTCCCAGCAAAAAGTCTTTGATCCAGCACAAACAACAGCAGCTCCTCCTTTTCCTCCCAGGCAGCAAACCCCCGCCCCCCCATCGCTGGCTTTGGCTCTCGTTCAAAAAGATCACATGTTCTTAAAACCCTCTGTTACAAATGAGCATCTCCCAATGACATCACTTCTGCTGCTCATTTCCTGTTGGTGAGGAAAGCCTTGACTACATCCGCTCTGTCCTCCCAGAGGAAGCAGTCACTTCCCCGAGCAGGTAGCCCGCTGACGGATAGCTTCCTGGTCTGGTGGGGTGGGGGGTGGGGGGCCACATCGATCGGGACGCTACTACGCATTGAGTTTGCATTGGTGCAGAGTATTCCAGTAACATGTACATGAATTGAAGCTTATAAACCCCGTTTCCAGACAAATGCGGGGTCTTTAGCATGCAGGAGAGAGCGTCGCCCCGTAGCGTCCTGCTTGCTCTGTGCTCTGTCCTCCTCAGTCCCATCAGTCACATGACTGAGCAACTTTTGGCTTTGTCCTTCCGGAGGTCCGAGGCCACGGCCGCCAGGTCGGGCCGACCGGGCATGTGTGAAATCCTCTTGTTGGCGCGGGCGGCCTTGCTGCGCTTCACATTTTTGTTGTTTTTGTTGATGCAGGCCAACGTGGCCACGTGGAAAATGTCTCTGACGCTGTTCTCCGACTGCTGAGCCGAGCACTCGATGTAGGGCGCCGAGATCTGCTTGGCCATGCTGGAGCCCTGAGGAGGGAACAGGCCAAACATGGTCACGGGAACGGCAGGCTAGCAAGAGGTTAAGACTTTCTGTTTTTCAAGTGCCAGCGTCAACAATGACGGCAGCATTTTCACTCTAAGGGATCAATTAAAAATGGCTTAAAGCAGAGTACAATGAGCAGCTATTCACCAGATTACAGCACGTTTCACACATGTTCAGCGGTTAAATGTCGCTGCTGATCTGCGTACCTGGTCGTATGAGACCGGCGTCTGTCGGTGGTTGGACAGCTCCACCAGCGTGCTCAGATCAGTGCGCAGGTCTGATTTACAGCCGACCAGCAGCATCTTGGTGTTGGGACAGAACTCCTGGATCTCTCCTTTCCACTGTGGAGACAGACGAAAACCCTCAATCAGGTGAACTATGGATCCTCTCAGTCCATTCAGACATTATCCATCAGCACCGGTCCATTAGCTCGATTCCCAAAAGCCCCAATATAAAGCTTTGTATTTAAAATTGATGAGTTTACTCTGACAGCGTTCAAATATTTGTTAAAATGCAAACATGCCTGTCGGCCACAACAAACCAACAAGAAATCCCACGAGTCCCTCTACCCCCCCACAACTACCCGTTAAGTAGAAAGGTTAAAGCTGCCACTTCCTGGAGCCCCTCATGCTTTGAAGGAACTACAAATAATCCCCATGTTTCCTCCCTGACAACAATAAATGCTCTGTGATCAATGGTATTTCTCTGGGGGCTTTACTCTGAGGCTAAAGTGCCTCAGGGCTGGCTGGCTGGCTGGCTGGCTGGTCAGGGGATCAAGTTCATTGACATCTGAAGAGGAAGTCGTCTTTTAAAGTGCGTCTGCGCAAACATCACTTGACTAAAAGCCTGAAAGGAAGCTAAACGTAAAGTGGACGCTCATTGTCTCAGAACACAAGCTCTAAACGGTGGAACAGTTTAATCAGTAGAGCTTTTGTGGAACGATTTGTGTTGCAGCGACCTGATCAGCTGGTTCCTAATTACTCTGATTCATTTATGATTTTCCAAATGAGGCAACGTAATTGTTCAAAGCCTGACGTCAGCCGGAGTGTGATTGTACACACACACCTCAAATAGGGCTGCCAGGAAAGCCAGAACCATTGACAACGCTGATTTTATCATTATTTACCAGTTCGAGACCTTGGGGGGAAATTACATTCTGCAGATAAGAGTCCGTATATTTGACTTTTATTAAGCCACATAAATAGGACCTGGAGTCTTGCTGGACCTCGACCCATGACCTCAATTATCGAAGATGGCCCTGATGCAGAGGGAAGCATTAAAACCAACGGTGTGCTCCATCAGAGGGGATGTCGGAGGCTTGGATGAGCTTTGGAAACCCCTCACACCTTCCACATGGTGGGTAATTATTGTTGTGTCCAACAGGTCCTCATGGGTCTTCCTGGTGACCAGGACCAAATTTGGGACCGATGGTTTTAATTTCAGTTTAGTCCATCATGGGTTGGATGTAAACATGTTTTATTACTTTATTGGCATTTTAGTCTTTATTGGATGGAGACAGTGAACACAGACATGGAAAGTTGTGAAAGATTGAACTGTTTGGTTTTCGCCCAAACCACCCAGCCCTCAGCTTCACAAAGATTTGATCTAATTTCACCACTGACTTTGCAAATGTGTCTGGTTTTGTGGACAGCTAACAAACAGGACGTGAATTGCAAAATAAGAGCACATGCCAGGTGCTTTTTACTGCAGGACAGACAATGGTTTTAATATTTTTAGCAACCCGTTTCCGAGAGCCATCAAATCTGTCCACCGGTCAGATGACTGATGCTGTCTGTACGTTCGCTGTACGCTCGGACATGCGGGAGTCAGCCGAAGGAAGTCATCGGATGTTAACCGCCGAGCAGCTCCATGTGAGCAGCTGGCGGTTCAGCAGTACTTCCTCGTTCCAACCGCTCTGGGGATTTAACCCAGCGACCTTCCAGTCACACTGCAGCTTTACAACTTCACATCACAAGATCTGACGTGACCGAGACCCCAAACAGGCCTCCTGACTGGAGACTTTAACTTTTGATCTATTTAAATGCAACCTTTGTTAGCAGATCAAACTGAATCAAAGTGAGCAGACTTTAAAGCAAAGAATGACTTCTACTGAGCTTATCAAAGATCTGCTTCGTGAACCAACGTCTCGGTGAGGAGCGACGTACCTTTTTCAGAACGCTGTCGAGTGTTTCAGGGCGGCTGATGTCGAAACAGATGAGGACGGCGTCGGAGTCTGGATAGGAGAGGGGCCTGACGTTGTCGTAGTACGGAGATCCTGAAACAAAGGAAGACACAAAAGTACATTCACAAGCTGTTACCAAAAAAACCCCAAGCTGCTCTATTCATGACCGTGCAAGGAACTTTGTCTGCTCCCAGAGAACAGGTGGCCAGCTGAGGCTGAGACGTTTCCCTGATTCAATTTACAGTTTTGCTATTTTTGGATAATCTAAACAGGGATCCAGCTCCAGGGACTCCAGCAAAACCTGCTATCAGTGCTTCAGAACAGAGAATTGGATCACAAATCTGATTAACACAGATCTTCCCATTTAGGACCCGGTTAGAGGAAGGTTCTTTCTTTCCTGGAAGACCTAAAACTCATCAGACGAGCAGAACACTGGCTTCACACAAAAGGAAATACCAGCATTCAAGTGAGGGACGGCGACCGAATGTACAGAAAAACCTCAAGCAAGGATTCTTTAATGCATTAAAAAAAAAAAGCCAAATTATCTCTTTGAACTCTTAAACATTTCTGACAGTTATTCTCATATGACATGATTGCAGCTCGGCCCTAATCCATAGCAACCAGGCAAGAAAAACAAATAATGCCGCATCAGTAGAAAAATGTGCTGACTACGACAAGATTACTTGTGAAAAAAAATAATGTTCTCTGGAGAAACAGAGAACTTCAGAGTGGGGAAATGACTCCCTCCTCAAATGGAAACCATGTGCGAGGAGACGCCCATCTCGCTGCCAGACTGAAACATCTCCAGAGCAGAGGGGGGAGGAGGTGAGGGGGGGGAGGCGGCGTCGTGTCAAGGTGAGTCAAGATCACATGACAAGCAAGAGGTGACCACACACAACCGGCTGCCAAGAATCTGGAGAATTTTGTTTTTGGTAACTGAAAGGTTCCCTTGGGAGGTCCTCTCTAAACACTGCTGCAGAGAGAAGGCAGGAATGCACGGTCACGTGCACGCTCACTCGCAGAGCTGGTGTTCCTAATCTAAACAGTCTGGGTTTGGAGAGACCGTTTTAAAACTCTCCATCCAGGCCGGGGTCTTGCACAATAGAGATGTGTGCATGTTTATGTCCATCAGCGTCCATGTGTTTGAGCTGAGGCTGGGTGGGAGGTAACACCATCTAAATAACAATCTAATAATTAAAGACTCGCTAATAGCTTCAACATAAACTACACATTAAAACCTTTATACAGGTAAAAGACGGATTGTAGGAGCGGTGTATTAAAACAATAGTTTAGCAAGTTCTTACAAACTAGACATTATACATACAAATAGTTCTGTTAAAGAAACGCAGCTCCTCGTAGAAAACCTCACGTTCTGCCATAGCAGCTACATTACTATAATACCTAAAAAAACTTAAATTATTATTCTAATTGCATTGAAAGGGGACACTTATCTACTAATAAGTTGTTCTGAAAAGACAGCAGATATCATCTAAATAAGCTTCTTTCTTTCTCCTTTTTGGCTGCTGCGCTAGAAGTTAGCTAAAGCGAGCTAATGCTAGCTAAAAGTTTTCCAGACCAACATGAGCAGTTGTTACCCAACTCTGAATATCCACAAATCCAAAATAATGGGGAAAAAGACAGTGGTGTTTAAATGTATACAAAAGATTTTCTTATTTTATTTTAGTATCTGCTAGCCATCAGTACTTAAATGCTGTTTGTGGTTGTAAAATAACAGCCATGCTAATGCTAAGCTAGCTGTGTTTCTATATAATCGTTACGAGAATTTGAAGCAAACATTTGAGCAAGAAAGCACAAATTAGGCTTGTAGGCTATCGCACCCTCCCCCCAAAAACCACGACGACAAAAAAGAAGCTAACAATACGCTAGCTGTATACGACAAACAAAAATTGAGGTAAGTCTTCAGGAATTGTTTTCAATCAGGAAAGTTGGAATTGTTCTGTCATGTCAGCTGGTATCGGACATGTCAGGCAGTCTATTAGATTCGTGAGTTAAATGTTTGTTATGTCAGAACTTATTTGAAAATATAGTTTAATCTCCCATGTAGCATGTTAGCTCATTGTCAAACAAGGCCACAAACCACCTCAAATGAGCGCAAAACGCTTTTTTGTGAAATCCGAGATGTTATTTTCCAAATATTGTTGTTTCCATTACCGTTTTCTGATGTGATATTTCTAAAATGGAAACATGGCTATTGTTTGCAGACTTATTTTTGAATTTTGTTTTCAGCAGCAACCAAGCTAGCAAGAACTGTTAAAGTTTAAATGACCTGGAAAAGTTATTCGAATTACCAAAGTATAGGGAAGTAAATTTGTCATGCACATTTACACGCTAACAGGCAACATATTAGCTTTGTAGTTTAGCTAACTAATGGAGTAAGTGTTAAAATCCCTCTCTGGCCATTGATCAGAATCTGATTCTGTATAAGAATGTCGATATTGAAAGCACCACCTTGCAGGTTCCTTAAGTTTTCCATGACACTCCAGTTTCAAGGTGAATATGATCCACCATGAAGAAACAAAACAAAACAACAAAACACCATATGGCCATGTCAACAGGGTAAAAATAAAACTCCATTTTCACCAGAGGGGGTCTTTAAACATCGTATAAAAGGTAAAAATGCGACGCCTGCTGAAGGTTTTGGCTCTCCTCTAGATTTTCCCAGAACATTGGGTGACGGGGGCTTTTAGTGACGGGACATGATGGGTTTCAGGACATCTGAAGTCACATCGGCGCTCTTGGCTCGAGCTTCGCATTCCACAGTATCATTTCTCTAAATGTTCACATGCAGGGTTCACTCAGGATGCAGCTAATTTCTGTGTCTTAATGGTTATTATCATTTCAAAAAACTGTGAGTCAGTGAAGTGTGGATGCCAGGAACTACACAGAGCAAATTACAAACGTAATGCATTTCAGATGGGAGCGCGCCGGCTGGTTATTTTCCACTCGCTCCCCGAGAATCTTTAAAGCTGTCCAATAGGTGACACCACCTAAACATAAAGGCCAGACGCTGAGCAGCTACCATCGACGGAGCTCAGGAAATGCAAGGCGAGGAGGAATGCGGGATCCCCCACAAGAATTTATTTCCCATTTTTCATGGCTGTCTCACAATCAATCACGACCACATCGCATTGTTTGAAGGGTTTTTTTTCCCTCATCCCTCGCTGCCTGGAACAAATCATTGGAAAAATAAGACCCTGTGACTGAAAGCGTAAGCTGTAGAGCCAGTTGACATTTCACAATGAATTTGCTTGTTTTTTTATCAACACATCTGAGGCGCAGGGTGTGAGGGCTCATTGTTGATACGTCTGCACATATTCCTGTGAATCTACCTGGAGATTAAAGTATTTATAGCCGCCACATGTTCGCAAACCTCTTCAAGCTGCGCATCATGACCGAGAAAAGCGAGCGGATCAAAATGTTGGTGCGGCGTAGGCTGTGAATAGAGGACGTTCTGGGATAGACCTGCATCCGAGACCAACCTCTGCTTTGAGGTCATCCTCCTGCCAGGCGGAAAGATAAGAGGAAATCCCACAGCGACACACACAAAGACCTGGTGACTGTCATCTAATTAGCTCCTGTCATTGTTCTCCCACAGGATCTCTAAATCTGGAAGGAAAGACACACACACCCTGTCCTCCCTTCAACAGCCCCTCTGCCTCCTCCTAAACATGCCCTCTCTAGTGTCACAGAAAACCGATGCGACGCCGGCGGATGCAGCGTAACGCCAGCAAACTTCCACTGTGGTCCTGACGACATGCTCAACATTTTTCCATGACTGTGTAGAATCTCTTTAAGGCTCATTTCCACAACAGCTGGAATAAAAAAAAGCACCACTTAACGCAATGAATATACATGAAACGAGTTGGAAAACACATTCTGCGCTTTTCATGTAATGTGACTCATTATTCAAATTCCCAGATGTTCTCTGCTTTCCGCCATTAAAAAAAAGTCTCCTGATGTTGCCCGTCTGGATTAAAGCTCTAAAATATTCCATGATGTTCAACACATCCCACTTTACACAGTAATGGCTTTCTGACATGGAAATTCACTTTATCTCACACAAACAGAGCAGACCTGAGGTAAGCCAGCTGCGGCTGACAGTCTGGAGGTACGGCAACAGGTCTGCAGGCCTGCTGATTTACTGCATAGCTAACATAGCTGAGCAGAGCGCCGCTGAAGGCTGTTGTGTGCAGCATGTGTGTGAGTGTGTGTGTGTGGAGAGGCGTTGGAGCCTTCGGGGGACACCTGTGGAAACAGCAAAACGGCGACAGGCACGTCGAGCAATCCTGCGCCAGCCGGTTTAAATATATAACCTCCCCTCGCCAGCCGGGCGACGCAAACGGAGGACAAAGAGCGATTTAAACTGGAGTAACCTCCACCAATATCTGAGGTAGTTGCTGTGGTTACGGGGATATCTGATGCTGTAAACACTGCAATCGTACCGTGTGGGATCTAAACAGGTATCAGGTTAAAACGACATCCAGAGTGATAACACACACACAGCGAGATGTGACGCACAATTTATCCCAATGTGATAAGACACGATACTACACGAGATATGGTACAACACAAAACACGCTATGGAACAATAACACGTGTTATGGTACGACATTTTATTACTCAGTGTGGTTGGAGACAGTGTTATGGCAATGTTTAAGGTTATGTGTGTTGGGGTGTGATGAATGGTGTTAGCATATGGTTGGATAAGTTAAAATATGATACGATACATTACAATACACTACATTACGATACGTGACAATCTGTTACAGTATGTCATGACACATTATGATACTTAGATTACATCGTGACATTATGACGCGCTAGCGATGCACGATATTAAAATTTCTGGCCGATACCGATATTAGGATTTCTGATATCGCCGATAACCGATGATAACGACAAATGATGCTAGGATATGGTTGGATAAGTTAAAATGTCGTACATGAAACATGATATAATACACTTTGTTTCAATACGATACATTACAATACACTACAATGTGTTACGATATGTGACAACATGCTACAGTATGTCACGACATTATGATACTTAGATTATATCACAACATTACGATGCGTTACGACTAGCTATGCACGATATTAATCTGGCCGATATCGATATCAAGATTTCTGATATCGCCGATAACCGATGTTACCGATGTCTAATTTTTGTTCACACCAAAAAATTAGCATAAGTAAGCACTGCGAGAACGTGAGAGCGATTCAAAAGAAGCCCAGATTAGACCACATAGTCTTCTTTATTGTGTAACAAACATATTTAAGTCCAGAACCATTTAAGTAAAAACATCGGTGAAATAGCAGCAATATCAAACGTAGAGAACGTAGAGACGAAGGCGCTAACGTTAGACAATCGGCGGTTTTTCAAATTGGCTACATTTGTTCATCAGGCCGATACCGATATATCGGAACAAACGCTAATATCGGCCGATACCGATGTGGGCGCTGATATATCGTGCATCCCGAGTTACGACACATTGCAGTACTTTGTGATACACTTCGATATGTTATGATATGTTGCGATAATTTGATGTTACAATGCAATCAGTTATAACACACAACAATATGTCACGATACTATTTGATACACTACAATACAGTAAGCTGTGATGTGTTTTCTGATACTTAACACAATACAACGCAACACTGTCGGCCTGAGAAGCTTCACTACCTCCACATACACTACAAACGTCCTGCCTTGGTTTGCTTTGTCTTAAAAGTCTGCACTTCACTTATGATTTAGCTCCTGTCGTAAAAAAAGCAGATTTATCACTTACAAAATGAGGCTGAAAACTTTCCAGTTTAACCTGCACTAAATTTCCCTGGTGTGAGCTGTGGAGGTGCACCGAATGACACACAACAACAACAACAACACAGCGTGAGCCAAGTGTGATTCAAGTTTGACATGGACGTTCAAACTGGCAGCGGGTGAAACACATGCGGGACGGTCACGTTTGTGAGCGGCGCCGGCAGGACACATGTACAAGTCCACGGCCAAGAATGCAGAGCGCTCGGTGTGAAGACCGGACACGGGTTTTTAATGTCAGGTGTAACATCACACACACAAAGTCCTTCCATTGCATTAGCACACAGGATGTCTATTAATCTCCCCTCACTCGCGCCCTATCACCGCCCCACTACCGGTCGGCAAATTCCACCGTGATTCAATTTCCCCCCTCCTCCTCCTCCACCTCCTCCTCCCTGGAAACGAGGTAGGGCTTTAGTGATCCTCGCCACTTCTCTTTCTCCGGCCGAGGATCTGGGGCTGCCGGGTACAATAGGGGTCTTTGTAGAGGAGGAAGTAGAAACCTTTAGTCTGAGGAATGCCAGACATGCGGCTCCAATTCGCTGAGCCCAGAAATGTGATCCAATGCAACAATGGCCACAGACAGAAGAATGAGGGAGGGGGGCACGGTGCGATTGTCGGAGGAGCTTAGCGAGCGCCCAGTAAGCTAAGCTGTCCGGCGTTACATGGGAAGCAGCACATGCGACGAGCCCCAGAAACCACAGAGTGAAGCGCGATCATCCTGGACGGCCAGACTTCTTCCATTTCAACTCAGATGTTCCTCAAAGTGGGTCAACTTTTAATGTGCTCACTAAACAAAAACACATTTTCCCCACAAGGTTCCCAGAGATAAATATTGTCAAATGAGCTCCTCGGGCTCGAACACGTGTCTCGTCGGGAGTCCTTGGTTTGAAAATGCCTGTGGTTCTCGTGTTTTCTTCTGATACTGAAGCTTTTATTTGTTCTAACTTTGGGGAAGTTGCCTGAGAGAGTCGGAGCAAACATTCCAGGCTGGAAGTGAGAAAAACACTGAGCCGCTTCCTACAATAAGTATATCAGGAATATTTCAACAAAATCTGTTTAAATCAATCTTCTACGAGCGCGAGATTAGCACGGAAACGATTAGTTGATTGGCGAGGAATTAAACGGCAGCGGTTTTAAAGCTGCTTTCGTTGATGTTTTAATATAAACGATGTAGGAACAAACCTACACAGAGTCAGATCTACTTTAGCATCTTTCAGCTCATTGTTTCGGGCTGATCTCCTGCAGCTTTAATGTTTAGCTTCAGATGCAACAAGCAGCTGTTTTGCTCAGAGGGACTTGTTGGGTTCTCTGTTTAAATGTGTTTCTATACTTTACCACGTTAAGCCCTGTGAGACGGCATATGTTGTCAACGAATAAAACTGACTTGTTTGAAGACTACGTTGGGATAAAACGCAGCAAATGGCCCAGCAGGCTACGCTAGCGGCTACGTGATGAACACAGCAGAGCATTTAGCAGCTAGCTATTATAAAGTGAATACAACTGAAACACAACCCTGTATAGACTTACAACTTTATCAAACAATGCCACCCTAAAAACAAAAGCTAAAAGCCAAATTAAGAAGAAGGAAGTGTAAAAAGTGGAAGTTTAGCTTCTTAAATGTGAGGATTCGGTGCTTCTTGCTGTTTCTCAGCACTAGAACTGTACCCGCCACCTCGCTCCCCATCAAAGCTCTGGGAGGCGTTTGTTTTCTGACATTTTAAAAACTCGACTGCTAATAATAAAAGCAGCTATTTACAGCCCTGCCTTGGATTACCTATTTAAAGCTCCCGAGATGCTTTTGTGTCGACTCCTCTCCTGTAAAGTGAGACGAGGCCTCGGGCGGCCAGGTGCTGATCCACAGGCTGCTCTGTTTGCCCTCCGCCTCCCGTTTGACTCCCAAACAAACACCTTTTGCGGCTCATTCAGACGAAGCAGACAGAAACCGCTTCCTCCTGAAAGAGGCATCAAAGGCGGCACCTCTGCCCCGGCGGGCCTCGCCCACAGACGAGCAGGGTGTGGGGGCCAAATGGAGGGCTGTGCAACTGGCAGGCGTTTACCTTAATGACCCGAATTACTCCCATCACCCTCCCTTTTAAACACACTCACACACCAGGCTGCTCATTAGGCCGCTCATCACCGCAGAACAAAGACCACCTCGGCGTGCGGAGGTGTGTGTTTGTGGGGAAGGGGAGGAGGTGTTTGTCTTCATCCCTGTGGCGGGGCTTTTGTGCCTCCCGCCCCCCCTGCCTCCCCCCCAGCACACCTCAGGAGACGAGGGATCAATGGGATTGGTCCGTGGCCGATGGGTGTCTCTACAAACAGGACCAGTCAAGTCGAAAGCTCTATCAATCGGTCACTAGGTGTGTGTGTGTGTGGTGGGGGTTGGGGGTATCTGGCTTCACTGATCTAATAGGAAACGCTCCCCCTCCTCACCACCACCACCACCACCACCACCACATCCCCGACTCCCCCTTTTATTCTGTTTTATGAAGCAGAGAGAAAAAGAAAAATGGCTCCAGGCGGCCGGCCAACACGGCGCAATAAAACAAAACTCTCACTCCTCCGGCCGCCTTTCATTTCATCGCCTCCCCACTTTTCCACACAAACCGGAGGGGCCGAGGAATTTCAAATTGGTTGTGCTCGTAGCGTTTCTGGGCCTGAAAACGAGGATTCTTCTGCTGATGCCGTTACTTTTATTCCCTCTGAAACTCAGCGAGAAGGTCAAAGGATCCAACTTTTTTTTTTTTTTTTTTTTTTGCATACGAGAAAGTTCCCCAAACATCGCTCAGGAATTCCAGGCCAAGGACCCGCAACAGCTGGCTGTCGGTTTGTCACCGCCCATCACTCCCACACACACACACACACACACACACACACAACACATGCTCACACACATGCAACATACGCCTCGCTCACGCCTCGCTGCTGTGCCATTCACCGCTCGGGCATTGATGGATGGGAAAGTGGGTTTGTTTACACACTTAAAAGCACACACACACACACACACACACAGCTGGTTTAGGCTACGAACACAAAGTCCAACAAACAAGCGATAAAAAAGCTGGAGAGCCAGGACTCGTGTTGCACAACTTTCCACCCCCACCCAAAAAAAGAACAAAAAAACGGGGAAGTCGGATAAATTTCCAAAGTGTGTTCACCAGATGTATGGATGTGAGCGCCTGTCGTTGGGTTTCCTGTTTCTGCTTTTTGCTCAGCTGGGAGGGAATCCATAAATCAAATCCACTCTGGATGCCAAAATGTGTGCATGTAGGTAAAAGGTGAGGCCGGTTCTAATCTGAGGGGGGAAATGTGTCTGGCTTGTATAGGAGCAGCAACCCCAGACTATGAGCAAGGATTAACCCGGCTTTATTGATTAAAATGGGTCACAGATTAATTTCATTACTCACAAAAAAAAAACAAAAAAATAGGCAGACATGCTCTTTAGAATTTGTTGAGGTAGAACCTTAAAGCTGCAGCACATGGATCTAATCAGCATTTTTCCCACAGTGACCTGCTGGAAACTGAAAAATCGTAATTACCTGAAGTGTCCCACAAACTGAGCTCAATCCTCTGCGTGTCGATTTCAAAACTGGCCGTGTAGTTTTCAAACACTGTGGGGACGTAGCTCTGCAGGAAGGAGAGAAAGTTTGATGAGCAACATGAAGCAGATTAATTATCCTGCAGCTGATGTCTCAACTAACACATGCATTAGAGGAAGACAGTCCTGCATCATGACTGGATCTGTTACTGGTGTTTTTCCTTCCTATCACAGTGCATGTGTGTTTAATCAGCCTCCAGCCTGCAGCCTTCAGCAGCCTCTCACCTCCGGGAAGCAGTCCTTGGCGAACACGTGAAGCAGCGCAGTCTTCCCGCACTGGCTGTCCCCCACCACCACGATCTTACACTTCACACTCTGACTGGGATCCATGCTGGATTTCAGAGATAACTTCTGACACGAGCGTCTCTCCTTCATTGATTTCAGTCGGGATGAAATAGGGAAAAAATGAGTCCAATCCCTGGAGTCGTCGAGGTGTAAGAAAAAAAAATAGAAAAAGAAAAAACCCCACAAGCGACAGATGCGGTGTGTCCTCTCCCTGCCTGCCTGCCTGCGCTCCTGCCCGCTGCCTCCTCCGGTGTCTCCGCCTGCTCTGAGCCGGTAAATGCCATTTGCTTGTATTTATAACGTGGCAGGAGCCAATGGCAGCGGCTCTGCTCGAGAGGCTCGGCCCTCCTCCTCCTCCTGCGAGCCTCCACACAGCAGCCTGCAGGGCCCGTCCTCCATCATGGCGCCCCCGTTTGGACGACACAAGGGCCGCAGCTTGTGTCAAATAAAATAAAAATAAATTTAAAAAAAACAAGAGACACAAAACTAAATAAAGTAGTGGTACTTTCAGCACTGAATTTTCTGTTAAAAAAAAAATAAAAAAAATAATGAAACAAAAACAGTGGCAAAAAAAAGAAGCAAAATTAGCACTTAAGCTAGCAACACCTGCAAAATGGCCGCCAACATGTAGCTCAATTAAACCGTCAAAGTCAGGCACCCAAAGCTTTCATTAGTACATTTTTATCTTTTACTATATTTACAAAAATGTAAATATACATATTTGGGGCAAGAACGTCCCAGCTTCCACATGTGTACAGTTAGCAAGTATATATTAGCTTATAGTAGATGGAATTGCTAGCTACAGTTAGCATTTAGCAAAAAAGATTAGTGCAAAGTAAGCCCTCATTTAGCCTTAAACTTTATAATCAGCACTAATTTTACTTTTCTGTTTTAAAAAAAAAAGTTATGAAACAAAAACAGTGGCAAAAAAAAAAAAAGCAAGATTAGCACTTAAACTAGCTACACCTGCAAAATGGCCGCTAACATGTCGCTCAATTAAACCTTCAGAGTCAGGCACTTAAGGCTTTCATTGGTACATTTTTATCTTTTACTATATTTATGAAAATGTAAAAAAAAAATAATATTTGGGGCAGGATCGCCCCACCTTCAACATGTGTACAGTTAGCAAGTGTACATTAGCTTATATTAGCCTCATTTGCTTTCAACAAAATGGATTTGCTAGCTACAGCTAGCATTGAGCGAAAAGATTTGTGCAAAGTAAGCCCTAATTTAGCCTTAAACTTTATAGTCAGCACTAATTCTACTTTTCTGTTTTTAGTAAAAAAGTTATGAAACAAAAACAGTGGTAAAATTAGCACTTAAACAAGCTACACTTGCGAAATGGCCGCCAACATGGAATTGTAGCTCAATTAAAGCTGTTTCCCTTCAAAGTCAGACACTTGAGGCTTTCATTTGTGTGTTTTTATATTTTACTATATTTATAGAAAATGTGACCACCCCTGCTTCAACATGTGTACAGTTAGCAAGTGTACATTAGCTTATATTAGCCTCATTTGCTCACAACAAGATGGAACTGCTAGCTACAGTTAGCATTTAGCTAAAAGGTTTGTGCAAAGTAAGCCCTAATGCAGCTTAAAACTTTATAACTTGGACTTTGAAAAGTGCAATAAATTCAATAATATATTATTCAGTGATATTATTCAACAATAATATTGAACCCTTGAAACTTGTAGCATCCCTATAAAAAAAAAAAAAATCAAAAACAAATAATTTAGAAAGACTTAATTACAAATTCAGGCCCTAAGCTAGAAATTCAGCACAACAAAAGTGAAAATGATGAACGACACAAAAGTTCGTAAACCTGTGATTAGTGAAATATAACTGAACACACCGGACTACATGAACATGGTTATAAAATGACTGAGAACACCAGAACCTTCTCAGTTTCTGCATGTGTGAGATAGAAAATGATACAAGAAGACCACCAAGTCAGTGAAAACACAGGAGGTATAGATGAAGCTATAGTAGCACTGATCTAAGCCACAGTGGTCATCCTCTGCTACACTACTTACACAATCTACCTCTGAATACCAGACGGACGAGTGCTTCATACTTGGCAAAGCGTTTATCAATGAAAATGAACGTTTCTGTGACAGCTCAGAGAACATTGCATAACGTGAAACTCTATCCAAAAAAAACACCCTCGCTTGGTGTTTGGTACAAAACTACAAGATGAAACTTTGCCACAAAAGACGCCTGATGAATGTTGGAGAACATTCTTTTGGTCAGATGAGATCCACGTAAACTTGTCCGGGTCAGACGGAGTACAGCATGTTTGGCATGAACCGGGCCAGAACCACCACAGTGAACGCAAAGTCCTGACAGTGAAGCATGAAGGCGGGAGCTGCACGAGTACAAAAGGTGTTGAGGGGACGACGTTTATGGATGGCGCCATAAATCTCAGCGATATAAAGCAAAACTACAGGCTGACAAGACGACTCCCAGACTGGAGAAACTTGGCAAAAGAGGAATAACGATCCAGAGCACGCTGCCAGAATCATTTCTAAAGAAGGAAAAGAGTGAAAACTATGACCGGGCCAAGCATTTCAATAAAACACCTTCACACATCCCTCCTGCAGAGACCAGAATATGGCAGCTTATAGGTTCTCTGGAATTTCTCATATATTAAATCTAAATTGTTGTTTACGTGGCATAAGTGCAAAAACTCCACTGTTCAACTTAGATGTAATGATTTGACATTTAAATGTTATCGTACGGCTTTGTACTGTTCGCGCAGCTTTATTAGATTACTTGAGGAAAACACAATTAACCTTTAACCACTGGACATAACAAATACTGTAATTAATATTCAACTAGTCAGGACTAAAATAAAACAGTGAACAGTGAGGGAATACTCAAGTCAGTCCTTGCTTGACTAATGAGTAGTAAAATAAATTCTTACTTGTGTGATTTAGCTGCAGTGCTTACAAATGATATATTGTGCTGTATCTCCTACACAATGCGTAATTTTGTTTTACAGAAGAGCTTTTGTTTCTGCTCGATAAAGGCTCGCGAAGGCCGTCACATAGCAAAGCCTCGTTATTATTCTTTATGTTCTGCACACCTTCCTCTCAACACTTCCAAGTGAAGAACTTCGGCTGAACTCGCTGCCACATGAAAAAATAATAAACCAGTGGATCCAGTACCAGATGCTGCCTATTTCCAGTGAGCAGCATTAGCGGCTTCCACAGAGGATTCCCCTCATTATCTGTGAGCAATACGTGCGCTTATTGTGGCGAGCGCAGCCAGAGAAAACACATTAGCTTTCATCCACATTCTTATGAGAAGACAGAGAAAATGGAAACTAAATTTCCCCGCGGGATTGATAATGCACCGCGTTCACATTTTTCAGTTTTTTTTCCAGAGTGCGAACAGGAACCCTTCTGGTCTCGAGGCCTCGTCTCTCAGCCTCCGGGCTACCTCCGTCGCCAACGCGCCATCGTTGCTAATTTCCACCAAAATGGGAAAACATCAGCGCCGTGCATCAGCTCGCCCCTCTGCGACACAGCGATTGGACTCTTGGAGTTGCTGGCAGCGTTTTGACAGTGAGACAGCTCCACCCTGCAGGCTGTGTGGTGGGAGTCCCGTCTGTTGTGTGGGAGCTCTGCCTCCAGGACGCTGCCAGGAGAGACGGGACGGCGGCGGCGGTGGGGGGATTCTGAACACTGGAGCTCTGCTGCTGCTACTTGGCTGCCGTCTCCGTACCATATGCATTTGACCTCATTCAAATTCAGTCGCAATCAAAAGATTATGGAGATTTCACCTGCCTGGTTTTTGCAAAGCAGTCATTTTTGTATTTATGTGGACTCCCCAGCTCGACTGTTTACCCTCCTCCTCTGTGTCTAAATAAATCCAAGCCTGCAGAGATTGAAAGGGCCACAGCACAGGAGACGGTGAACAAAACCACATTAGCTGAGTTGTTTACACACTGTGCCCCGGTGCCCTTCTGCAGTTTTATTCAGGCTGTCTGGCTGACTGTGTGTGTGTGTGTGTGTGTGTGTGCTGCAGTCTGCTATAGCCTGCAGCGTTGCCAATCACACTTGGGTGCAGCCACACATTTGGGCCAGAGTGAGAGTGTGCAGACCGACATTATGCAGAAACATCTTAAAGGTAAACCGAGATGGATGCATTCAGGAGCATTTCGAAATCCTCACACAACACGATCAACACACCTCAGTGAAGGTATACATGTGCAAAGAGCCACCGTGTTGTGTCTCTGTATACAAACCGCTGCCTCGCCTCTGCCTGTTTATTTCCTTTCCCTGTGAATGTCACCAAGCACGACACTCGCTGAGATAAATGACAAAAACGGACCCCGAAGGACGTGCGATACAGTAAACTGGGTCTTTCTGTTAATCGAGTTGGCAGACTGGTACAGTAGCCTAAACGCTGTACACGGTTCCCGGAATAGAAATGAGGGTACCACCTGTTTGTGGTCACATGGTGCTGTCAACATCCCGCGGATCTTGTACATTTCCATGAGGGCGACTCGGAACTAATTTTCGGTGACCTTTACACGTTTACGTTTTGATTTTCAGTCGGCGTCTTTTTCACCGGAGGAAAAAAGCAAAGTTGAGGCGCATGAGCCGCGTTTCAAGGCTGATCTTGAGGTATCCTTGACTGAAACATCAATAAGCTCCAGCCCTGTGTTTGCTCCCGTCGGGGATCCCTGCGCCACATATGCAGCTACCTACTAGCATCCTTCACTGCCTGACACATATAATAAAATATATGTGACAGGCAGCGGAGACTCTTCAGAGGAGTGATGGATGCCTGTGAGCTCTCTGGATGTTTGTGACAGCTGTGGACACAAACAGACTGAATCTTTCTGCAGCAAAAATAATGACAAACTGAGCATTTCAATTAGTGCACGATGATTATTAAATCTGGAAGCGTGTATAATGTTTTAGATAAACACTAGACGACCTTGGTCTACATAATGCTTTATTGCACAACTAGGTCAGCACATGTCTACCTTGCAGGATTTTTGAAGCATTTTTTGCTTGTTGGCAAATAAAAAAAACCACAGCGCTCGCGAACATTAAATCAGGAACAGATATTTTTGCAGCTGTAAATATTCTCAATTATTCATCCTGAAAATACCTCCGAGCAGCAACACTGTACTTTCCACTAATAAAACTCTGCAAACACTCGTCACTGCGGTTCAAGCGCGGGTCAAACGCTCTTCCCGTTCTCCTGAATCCGGGGGATTTGCCGCGTTGCTGCAACGATTTCCAGAAAC